ATATTAGAACATAACTAACACTCTCCCAAGTGTAAAACATAATACATGCATTTATTCTTTCACTAACGGTTATATTTATCTCATTTTAAATGTAACATTCAAATAGACAAATAATGTCAACAATTTATTGGCCATTTTGGCTTATAAATAACAGTGATAAAAATAAAGCTTCCAAAGAATTTTATGACGGGACAATGTTGCAGCCCTCCTGTTGAATGAGCCAACAAAAAATGTTCTGACAAACAGAATGTGTCTTTTTATTGATTTCCCTTAATGAAGATTCAAAATTTGAAACCTGAGCCCTTACTTCAGGTAACAGTTATTCATAGCAAAAGTTTGAAGATTTTTCCATTTGTGTCTTTTCATTGTTGTGTTTTTCCATCTCCTTTTGATAACCATTCATCATAAAATTAAATAATAGTGCCATCGTTTATTACCGAGTTTTTCAACACCACCGTGATCCCTGATCGAATATAAAATCCCTCAGACGATCTGTCAGCCTCCTGCACATTCTACGCCCCAAAAGAAATTGTCATTAATTTGATTTCAGAGAAGTATATGAGAGATTGTGGAGAAAGTAGAGAGCATAGGCAATTAAGACTTACTTCTTTGTTTGCAATTATTACATTGTTTCCAATTCTTGCGTTTTTGTCGATTATACAGTTCCTGCATCGAGATTCAAGTCATGATATAGACTTACATGTAAAAGATACAAGAGAGAAAGAAACATTTGTAAGTCCAACATAGAATATTATTCAGATCCGTCTTATTGTGCTGGTCAAGTTAAACTTGCTACACAAGTTAAACTTCATTGATGGTGCGTCGATCCGATGAGTAGTATAATTATATGCCATGTAATACATGAATGGTGTTATATAAAGTGAAATTATGACATGATTTTCAAGTTTTAGGATTCTTACAAAATTTTCGTATTCTTGCCTATGCCTATAGGGACGTCCCCAGCTGCTAACAGAGACGCAATTTCAGCCTCGGTTTGATAATAGTCAGCGCCCATCATCAAGGTATCCTGTAACGTGATTGTAAATGTGATAACACGGCTTCATGTCAATCGAGTTAAAAAAGGTTGAACAGATAGATATTTTTTTACCTTTAGCAGCACTCCATGATCGAGTCTCGAACGAATTCCAACTATGGAATGCTCAACCGTGCACTCTCTTAAAAAACCACCATCTGAAATCAAAGAATTAATCACCTACAATAGATATTATTTCACACTCATTAGGCTCCATTAGAAACATATAAAGTTGGTTATATTGTACGGACGGAAATTTTTAGTTCTACCTGACACTTCTCCATTTTAGTCGGGGGTAGGAACCGAGGACACGTAAAAATAGGCTTTGACTGATCATATAACTGAAACTTTGGCGGCTTCGACATGGAAGAAGAAGAAGAAGAAAATGCAATTTGTATAAACTCGTCAATCGATGATTCCTGTAACTTTTAAATAGTAAAAGACCTACCTTGTCCATAAGCGCCAAGTTTGCGTCATAGAAAGATTTTATAGTCCCAATATCTTCCCAATAACCACTGAAAAGACATGCCTGTGATGAAATACAAGGGCCAACCTTGATTGTTTACTATAAAAACAGAATATGATAATTCAATGCATCAATCAAAAGCTACTTTGACAGAATATTTGGTGACAAAATACTTTCGCCCGCTAAAACAACTTGTATAACTCTAGTAGTTTTCACTTAGAGAAATTACCTGAACTTTAAAATCTTTTATAGCCTTCGGAAGAACCTCGGATCCAAAATCATTTGCATTAGGATAACAGTTCCTGAAAATTTATTACCAAAGAAAACTGGAAATCACATCATACTTATCTGAGTTGAACTTTGGAAAATATTATAAGTTAATTACCTGAGAAGTTTGCGAAGAACGTCTAATTTAAACACGTATATACCCATTGATGCGATATACGGAAGCTTCTTTGCTTCTTGTGCTGATAATCCAAAAATACTCGTATCCACATGCTACGAGAACAAGTAGAGAAACCAGAGATGGGTGAGTTCAGATTGAAAACTGGCGCTATTATATACTATATATATAGTTATAGTATATTACATTTCAATGTTTTAAGAGGAAATTGGAAAAATAACAACCATAGATCTTAATAATTCTCCCTTGGGTTTTTCCATGAATTGGCGTATCTGTCCTCTTTCGTCAACCTTCACTAGTCCAAAATCAGAGGCACGACTACGAGTGAAAAAAAGAAGAAAATGTGAACACTTCAGAAGCTGAATGAGTAAGAGGTCTTAGAGGAAACTTTACTTAGAATACCTGCCATTTACTGGTAGACACGATACCGATATATCAGCATATGAATTAATGTGCTTCTGCAGATTTGAGATCAGTTGTCATGTGAAACATTCATAATGAAAGTAAAACATCAAAAGAGAATCAAAGTTAGCAGATAATAGTACCAACCTTCACAAGTTCCATGTAATCCATTCGATAGAGCTGATCACCACACAGTATCAGAATGTTCTCTATGCTTTTATGCTCAGCATCCTAAACTCAAGTTCCAGAAGCATATTCAGTATTCTGATTGCCGAGAAGAAAATTCTGCGAAATCTACAATAGTATGAACATGGAAACTAACTATGGCATACCTCAAACAACCAAAGGAATCGTCTTACAGCATCGGCAGTACCCTGAAACCACTTATTTCCTGCTTCACCGAGTGTTTGTGTTGCTGCCAATGCCTACCATATCAAACTTTTAGTCTGTGTACATCAAGTGAAGGTAAAAAAATATAATTCACAGCAACAAAAAAAGATGTACCTCAATAAAACTACCACCGCAGTTGACACCACCTCCCAAATGATACGTTCGAGCAATGTGGCGGTTGAGGGACTGAGAATTGAACTGTGTAAGGACGTAAATTTTGTTAATTCCACTATTAATACAATTACTCATTGGTATGTCCACCAGCCTATAACAACCTCCGAATGGCACCTAAAGATCACACGAAGAACATAAAAAAACACGATTAGATTAATGAATTCATGCCTAGTTTTGGAAGAACATAACAAAACACGAATATTAGTGAATTCAACAGTTTACAGCAGGTTTAGCCCTTTTCTGAGTAAGGGGGAATAGCCGAGTTCCAGCTCCACCACCTAAAATGATCGATGCAACAGTCTTTGGGTTGGCTTCTTCTTCAGCAAAAATTGTTGATTGTGGGGTCTGAAATGTAACATTATCTAAGCAAATTCATATTCAATATATATCATTAGTGATCAAGTTCAATCAAAACAAAGAAGCGTGCTATGATACTAGACTCTGATACCAGGTTGAGAAGCATGGTAGAGCCTAACAACGAGAAAATTACAATGATTGTATGATACACTTTATATAGTGATCATAACTAACTTGTAACTAACTACCATAAACAATAATTCAACTAATTCTAACAATTGCAGAAACATAGCATTGTCAAATAACTTAGATAATCAAGAAGCAAAATGAAAGCGAATATACCATAAAATTGTTTGCAACATCGGCAAGAGTAGAAGTAGCCAAAAACCTTCTAGTCGTGTTTCTTTGTACAACACTTAGGAATTTTCCATATGGAAAATCAAATGCATCATTCCTTGAATGCAACTTGCTACCAGAGAACGAAGATGACAGAACCCTGTCACGGTCGATGAATGGCTTCTTTGAACTCAACAACATAGAAATTCCATGTAACTCACTCGTCATCATCATTACAAAATTTCCATACACTATGAAAACTATCTTCGATTCTTCTTTCAAGCAAGTTATTATTTAAAGTCCAAAAGGTTACTACTACAAGACTATCTAAGATATTGAAAACAAAAACTAATAAATAACAAAGCAACTCAGAACATTTTCTGTACAACCATAAAAGGAAGAGAAACATGTGTATATGAAATTAACTTAATTAAGAAACATCTAAAGATCCTTAATTAAAAGCAATGTACCAGAAAACAGAAAAAGAGGGAAATTAAAGCAAGAGCATAATTTGTAATATTATATATTTTATTGTGTTTCCACCTCATTTTGTTTAATTATGAATTTAAAAGAATTAATTAAAGCAAAGTTGGTTTCCCTCAACGTAGAGCAAGGAATGGCTTAATACACAAAACCAACATGGAAAGAAAAACATCAGACAATTTCGTACACAAAACAAACTTAGTTGTAAGTTTCAAAAGATTCGCAGCAGCTTACACTACACTTAAGCTAAAATGCATCTATATTATTCCTAAATGCATGTTGTGTCTCTCCTCTTTTGTGATTAATCTAATCATTAGTTAATGGCTCATACTTTTAAAATTAATGAAGCACAAACTTAGTACTTTCTTTTACCATAAAATCAAATAATAGTAACAAATTTAATGCATATAGTCCTCCTCGTACATTACTTTAATTTTACATCTTTATTTACACCTCTTTTTTCTTTTAAAACCCTTACTCTTCACTTTACAGCTTATACTCCTTCAAGCTTTTCCAGAGCTGTTTTCTTAATCAATTTTTATTAGTAAATCCACTAATTAAAATGAATCTTACTAGTTCATCATTTATGATTATCTCTTTTATACATGAATAAACAGTGACATAGATAAATGAAACAAATCCGAACTCCTTTACAAGAGCTATTGATGAATGCGGTGAAGTACTCCTTTCCGTCCTTACAAAAACTTCCAAAAAACCTAATACATTACAGCTCTCTCAATGAGTACTTTATCTCACCATTATCTTCCTTTACAGGCTAGACTTCTGTTTGGCAATCAGAAATTACTCCTTTGAGATTTTTTATTCTATACATATGCCTTATTCCCGAGCCAGCTTCTGATGACATACAGTTACAGATAGAAGCTGACTACAGGATGATGCTCTTTCTGAGATAGTAGTTTGCAAAGTAGCAAGAGTGTTGCTACAAGCAGCACGGAGAGAAGAAGTTATTGGTGGACAGATTATTGTATATCTACTTGATCAAAAGTATTAGCATACTATTTATCTATTCTTAGATTGTTACGTAGATGATCAAGCTCAGGTCTTGCATCCATCCACGCGGCAAATTCTGTATCAGCAGGAGAGGTGCAGTAGAGATACGATGCGAATGTGATGAGAAAAAAATACCGCCTGCAAGAAAAGAGAATGATTACAAAATCAATAAAACAATAAACCCATATGGTGCACACATAAACTTTTTTATGTGATTACTACTCTCACAAATCCAATAATATGTGTACTTCAAATTTTCTACTTTTTTCTAAAGTTTGACATTAAGTGCAAGATCAACATGTTAGGTAGTTGTGATTTAGTGGTTGCATTGATAATTGATAGTGCTAACTTAACACCTATAAATTTATCATTGTATTTAAAGTTTGTAACATGCAACATTTTTCATACTCCATCAAAAGACATTTTATATTAATGTTTGATTTGCTTTTCAATGTGTTTTAATTTTCTATAATTTAACATGCAAGGTACACACAATAATTAGCAACAATTCTAGGGTCGGATAGTCAAAATAAACTATTATAAATTTAGTTGTTAAATGTCTATATCAATTCCTGCATCGGTGTAAACCAACCCCCACACGCTACATATACAGGCCCCAGCAGTATACGTGAGTGTGTGATTAATTCTTCTCATACCTTTTCGAGAAAATATATTCATAACCATCGGAAGGCATCATGAAAACATTTCGGTTAGCGAGGCAAGTAAGTGTACCTCAAAGCCTTGACACCCATGCCCATAAGGTATGCACGTTCCTCATCATCATCATCAGTGAGCTTCTCAAATTCTCTTTTGTAATAAAGAATATCATCTCGTATATGCCCTGCGCCTGCACATCTATTAAAAAGAAAAAAGAAAAATTCAGTGCCTTCGACTAAAAGTCAATAACTAGCATGTTAAGCTATGTTGCCAAATCAAACTCCTTCGGCAGGTAAAGATGCAAAAGCTTTAATAAATCTACAAAAGTGATGACATTATATATTTGTAGGGAAAAATGGTGAATGCAAGTGGTAGGGAACATAATATATCTACTCTAACGTTGAGTGCATTTTCATACAGGTAATAAAGAATGGTTAGTAAAGCATCAAATCAAATTATTTTGACAACCTTTCAATGACAATGTCAACATCTGTTTTGCTTTGGGGACCATGTACAAGGACTCTTGTAAGGTTCAAAATGTCACGATAGTCGCCCATCCTAAGTGCTGTTTCATTAGAAGCTCGAGAATGGAAACTCTCTTCAGTCACTACAGATGTATCGGGACCAAATGATGGCTGCAGGACTTTTGATGCAAAGTTTGCATCTGCACCGAGTCTAATACAGATTATGGCCATTGCATATGCGACTCCACCAAAACCTGTGTGTGATACAAAGAGGTACTTCCCTGCAGAGCTACAATGAAGCAAAAGTTTAGAATGGTGCAACCAGTGACACAACAAAAATGTTGGATTTAGAAGATCCATATACTTCAAAGTAGAGAGAGACTTACTCATCTTGACAGTACTGTATTGCATCGACGTCAGAGGCCAAGGCATCTCTCTCTCTGGTTAAGGGTATTCTCCGATAGACGATATCATATCCATCATCTTTTAGAAAAGAATAAACTTCTGCTGGTGTCTTCACATCATCTGCCAGAATGTTTTCCCAGTATCCGACCACAGAAGACTGGTTTGTTGAGGGGTCATATTCTTCACGGTGTAGTAGCATTCGCCCACCAGACTCTTTAATCTCAGCCAGTATGTCTTCTTTCAGCCGTGCCTCCATGTGTTCAACCTGCATTTTAAGTAACCATGAGTTGTGCAACACAATCCCTTTATTGATATGTTCCAAGAGACAAACTATTGTACAAGATGGCTCACCAAAGGACCGGTGATTCCGACGTGTTTGAGAGTATCAACATGTTTTTTTAACTCCCTAAGAACAAAGGGAACACAGTTGATATAAACAATCGCTTCTTCTCTTACATCAGTCAATATAACTTTTTGAGAAGTGAAACCAGTTTTAGACTTAGCGTCCAAGTAGTTTAGCATCTCCTTGGCCCCAGAGATGGTTGGAGTTGCCATGCAATACACAGGGTATTCGTCAACCTGAAAAAAATGGCATTCTCACAGTCATCATACCACGTAATATATCAATTGAATAAAACATGAAATTCGATAATGCAAAATGCTGTCAGAAATACTTTCATACATAAAAATACCTTGTAGACATGAGGTGCGCCATGTATTTGTATATGATTGGAAGTTCTCTGTCCAGGAAAGAAATACATTTTAAGTATGGAGCCTTTCCCCAAAACAGAACCATTTCTGGTCTTGACAGTAGCCTCCATCACTGCATCTCCATGCTGAGACTCTTGTGATTCTCTCAACTCCTCCTGAAATTTAAATTGGCATTATTGAAGCAAATCTACTTTGAATTTTGAAAAAAATAATCATTTGAGTATAAAACATTTACAGGGACAGTGAAAAATCTCCCAGGTCTTAATCTGATGCTCCATTTCATAGCCTGCACCTCTGGCCTCTGATGCAACCAAACCTTAAATGTCATTCTGGAATCTCCTTGTCCACAAAACCCATCGAACGCTTCGCTTCCAAGATATGCTGCAAAAGCAATTAGACGGAAGTACCGTTCCAAGTACTCAGCACTGCGATTTAAAGCCACCCTCCTTACCCTATCCTCAACATGCTGTTGATTGGATACTTTTCTATATTGTAGAACTGCTTGTCGAATGTTTTGGAGTGCAGAACATCTATCAATAACAGCATCTAAGGCCTCTCGGCATTCAACACCATTATCAAATAATGTGGTTATCTTCCATAACAAGAGAATGTCATTTATACCAAAAACACGGTTTTGTTTCTCGTCCATCTTCATTTGTGAAGTATTGGAGGTCAATGCAGTGACACAGTCTCCAGCTTCATCTCCGCTTGAAGAGCCGCTATTTGATTGTTCTTGGGTCATATTATCGCTCAATATTTTAATTGGCCTACCAAAATCAATGCGAAGTTTCACAAGGCAGGCTATGACAGTACCAGTAGTAGTCCTTCCCCGACCCATCTGTTATATCAATGAGATATTTGCAGCTATAAATGAAAAGGAGAAAAATACAAGAACGTATTCCTAAAGAATAAAGCATATGAGATCAAAGAATAAGAAATTACCTGACAATTGAAAACAAAAGTAGTGTCCTTTGCAGCAGAAGCAATATTAATAGCTAAAGTATCAAAGTCAGAATGCTTAGGAGCTTTTCCGTCAGTGATGGGTACGCGTGCATACTTAATGGGAAACCCGTCAGCTTCCAGGCTTTTGAAAACTTCAAGCGGGGTTTGAATCACATCAGAGGTAACATGCTCCCAAGCATCATAGATATGTCCATCATCTGTTTCATGAATAACCATTATGGCATTGCTATACTGTTTAGCTTCCTTTAAAATGTCTAGTTTTAACCGTGCTTCCATTTTCTCCACTCTTTCGCGGCCAATACCCTGAAAGAACAAATTGCAGCTTCCAGTTCACCAATAATAGGAGGAAAGAGTACCAAATTAATATGAAATTCAAAGCAGCATCTAACAACATCTATGTTTCCATCCCCTTTCATAACTTCAAATTTATCGAAAAGATGTGTCAAATGCGATGTTTACCGTGTACTCCAACATGTTTTTGTATGGTCTTTCAACTTCACGAAGAACAAACGGCTTCCCATTGATGTAAATCACAGGCTCTTCTCTCATATTATGCCAAAGTATTGGGTGTCCACCATTAGTGCTGCCAATTCTTTGAATGACTGATCGGATACCATCAACAGTTGGATTTGCAACACCAAAAACTGGAAATCCAGGAATTTGTCGGAAATTAGGAGCACCCTCTACTCTCTCCGGCAAACATGGATTTTGGCATCCAGGACAGTGATCACTTTTAAGAACAGTTTGACTACCAAGAACCTCACCCTTTCTCAAGGCAGCAACCATGCCCATCTCAGAAGGCCGGACATCAGTTGATTCAGATATCTTCTTTAAAGATGGTTTGAAACTTGAATATCCAAGTGCACCCATTGGATCTCTCCTGAGTAACCTGCAATACCAATTTTCGTGAGTCATGTCAAATACATAGGTGATCAAAACCTTGGACTACATATAAAAGATTATGTCTGAAAGTCATAGCGAGCTCGGTTCAGTAACAATCATGATCATTGCTAGATATACAATTCACAGGTCAAACTCAGTTTGACTCAATAGTTATATATCCACACTCCACAGTCCACAGGCCTAACGAAGAGAAATCAAAAAAGATAAGTAACAAAAGAATGACCTCACAGTTAATAAAGTTTTAACCTGCGAATAATGCTGTAGAGTTCTGGTCTTGCTCTCATCCAATCAGAAAAACTACTTTGACCAGCAGTACTAGAGTGGAGTATATCCCTTTCTGAATGAAGGTACACAGCAAAACATATTAAAAAGTAGTATCTCTCTAAGTACTCCACAAAAGAGGAAAGTGATGCCTCCTTTTTCATCTCATCTGGCTGTCGCAGAATGCTATTACGATAGGTGCCAATTGCTTCACGCAGATTCTGAAGTTCATGAAAGACACGGATTAAATGAGACAATTTTAGAAATATGAAGATTCCACCGACAAGATACATGGAAAGAAATTCAAAACATTCAAAGAGACTATGCACACAACCAGCAAAAAGGTTATTTTGAGTAACACAGGATCAAAACGTTAAAAAGAGAAACCTGCATTGAAGCGCATTTGTCAATGACTTTGTCCACTTGTTTTTTCCCGTCAACACCACCCTAAAGAATGTTAACAAATTAGAACAAAAAGAATACATTCTCATCTTATACAAGAGAGATCAAATTTAATGTCAGTACCTCTAATACCCGAACCAAGCTTCTTATGACTGCATATTCTCCTCTGCAAATTGCCTCCTCTGAGCTTGGCAAATGGTCAGCAACATTGGTCATAGATTGAAAAATTCTACCCATCGAATTGCTTCTTGGAATCCCTATCATATGATAGTAACATAAAAGTAATATTTTTGTTAGTGGAAAATCAACTGATACACTTTATGGTTTAAACTTAATGATGAAGGAGTAAGAATAAATTAAAGAAAATCATGGAAAAGGCCGTGCTTATGAGAAATCCACATACATTTTATATTAACTAAAAACTGGAATGTGTGTTTGTGTGCTCGTAATTGAGCAAAATAGCGCTTTTGAAGTATTAAAGAGTTCCATAATTTTTGTAATTAAACAGCAAAATAAATAGTAGCTTTCAATCAGAAGCTGAGTGTCCAATATTCAAATTTATGGGATGAAAAAATGCCATAAATAAAAGAAAATAAACAACAAAATCAGAAAAACTATCATAAAAAAGGCAGAAAAGTTGAGTGGATAAATAAATAGAAATACCAAATGCTCCAATTCGATTGAGGTACACCAAAGTTGCAATGACCATTCCAGTTGTCGTTCGTCCACGCCCCATTTGACAATTAAAAATTATTTCTGTATTTAATTTGGCTTGAGAGATTTTTTGTACCTAAAAATCAAGAAATCATAAGGGAGTTTTCTAAGTTAATAAATGAGTTCAGATTGTGATGCATGACAGTAGCATAAAATGAAAAGAGTGATTAAATAGAAAAACGGATCATTGTTTTCTCTCAAACAAATTCATGCAAACAAAACTAACCAAAAGATCAAAATCCAGTTCCTTAGGCGATTTTTCATCAGTTACAGGCACACGTTCATAATCAACAAGGTATCCCTCCTTTTGCAATTCCTGATACACCTACAAAAAACAAAACAACTTTGAAGCAATTTGTAGCAGGAAAAACTGATTTAATACTCACATTTCCATTCTAAACATATTTCACTAATACCTCCAACGGCGTCTCGACAGAATCACATGACACAGGTTCCCATTGGTCCACCATCTGACCATCAGGCAGTTCATCCGTCACAAGGATCTTATTACCATATCTGTTACGTCAACATAAAAATAAGGTCGGCAGTTAAGATTAAAAACAACCATGAATTCCGCATGACAAGTTAGCAACAAATACAGAATGACCCCGAAGAAGTACCTTCTAGCTTCCAACATGATGTCTTCTTTCAAACGATCTTCCATTTGTTCCACCCTATCCCTATTAATTCCCTGATTGATTACAAGTCCAACACAAGTTAGACGCCAAAAGCCCAACAAAACAGTTTAAAATCATTTGACCATACCACATTGTTTGAATTTTTCTTCAACATCAATAATCACAACGCAACTACAACCACAATTTAAAACCTAAAACCTTGTAAACTATGAAACACGGACATCTGAAACACAACATCTTAAAAAAATAATCAAATTAAACATAATTACAAATGTAAGTGTCAGTTGACACTACAAAACTGGCATTAAAAAACTTAAATTAACAGCTTACCGTATATTCAAGGTTGGAGAATGGTCTCTCCACATCTCGCAATACAAAAGGTCGGCCATTAATATACATTAGCTGATTTCAACAAAGAAATAAATAATGTCAATACCCATCATAGCATTATCATTACTAATCACCGTTTCATCATAGTTACCAACAACAAGTTATAACTATACCGGTTCTTCACGAAGACTAATCCAAAGAACTTGCTGTCCTTTCCCGCGAGCACCAATGTGATTAAGAACATTCCGAATTCCATCAACAGTGGGAATGGCAACACCATGAACATGCAAAGCCTCCGCCTGACGATAATTCGGAGCACCTTCGATCTGAGGAGACAGAAGCTTATTCTGGCAACCAGGAAAATGGTCACTCTTCAGAATCGTCTTCTTTCCAAGTACAGAACCTCCTCGCATTCTCATCACTTCCTCCGGTTCCTTCACTATCCTCAACATCTTCAACTCCCACTATCACACGCCAATGCAGAATTGCCAACTACTATAATGTAATGTGATTAATCTATACGCTGTCAACTTCACTGAGATTTCGAGTTTCGGTCACTTCATTCTTTATATTCTTCTTCTTTTTTCATCTGGATTTTCCTCGGAAACTATTTGCACCTACCAATAAGCCTTTTCCTAACAGCAACGTGAAAAGCGTGGGCAACAAGAAGATAAACGTGTCTGCATCATGTGATGTGATTGAGCTTAAAAACGCTAATCACTGTTTATTTTTTAATTACTTTAACTAATTCAATAGTATAAATACGTTTAACGTGGACTATATTCTTTTGAATTAGTTTACTAACTAACGGTTTCTTTAGAAAGCGCGTTTCTTTTGACGGTTATGCTTTGGATATTCTGTTAACTTTTTTGCCACGTTGGTACTCTTTGTTTTTTCCTTATAAATGGGATTATGATTAGATTGAAATTAAATATGGTTTCTGTTTTCTTCTATTGTTACGATATATATACTGTGGATAAGGTTGTATGAAAATAATGACGTGGAGTTGTTCCGTACAATCTGTGACACTATTGTTTTTTCTTTGAGCCACTCATTCTTATAGATAGATGCCTATGTATATCTAAGAAAAATAGAGACTGTTTATTTTTTACACTATTTTAAATTTTAGTTTATGATTTATAACTTGTTTTTTACTTTCACTTTATTTTTATTATTTTTGACTAAAATCCACTTTTATTTTTTTATATTTTATTTTAATTTAAAATAAAATAATTATATATTAAATATCATTTATATTATTTTAATTTTATCATTTAGTTAAATTATTAATTTTGCTAAACACTTCAATCAAACATCAATCATTTAATATAACTTATAAACTATTAATCACCACTAATTAGTCATAAATTATCAATTAATTTATCGATCAATCGTTATTTTTACAAATAAAAAATTTTAAAAAACTTATAATCTTTACACACAAAAATTTATAATCTTTACACAAAAAACTGAGTTTAGACATTTGACAACATACTTTTATTTTAGAATAGTAAATTTGTCAGCAGAGAAGAAAAGAATTATCAAATGATCGATCATTATTTGATAATAGAAGTGAGATATTTATCACGGAACTCGTTTGTTAATCTTTTATCTATGCAGATTCACATGTGAAAGTATATGTATGTTAGTTTGGAGGAGGAGTGATTCTTCTTAACTTAGTGCTTAATGTTATTCATATTTTCTTCTTGCCTTTACTTAAAATGTTAACTAGAATTCAAACGAGGTTCCTTTTAGAAGGTGTAAAGGGTGTTTTTAAGATTTCTTGGATTAAGTAGTGTGATATCTTTAAACTTAAGAAAAAAAGTGGCTTGTGGGTTTGGGATCTCCAATAGGTTAACTTGGCCCTTTTGGCCAAATATATTAAGAAACAAGTGTGGGTTTTGAGTCCCGCATTGTTTAGAAAAGTTAAAGGTAGAGTATTTTATAAGTGAGAGGACTCATATAACTAATGTCTTAAGGTTTTGGATGAATATGTCGTGGCTCTCTCACTTGTTTGGGTGAGTCTCTCACCTAATTGGGATGTTTCCCCTCGTGATGATCCATTAGTGGCATTAGAGTTAATGGTTCGAGTAAGGGACCAACTCCTTGTATTAAAAACTTTCTTGACAAGGTTTTTGATGAATATGTGGTATCCCTCTGATAGAGATGAGGTGGGTCTAAATTATGGCCTCAAGCCTAAGATTTGGAGGTGTATACTAGAAAAGGTGGAAAGGTGGGAAGAATGATGACCTGGAAGGTGAGGGAGGAAATTGTGAGTTAGTTATTTGTTATTTAGTGGGAACATGGGTGAGGAGAGAGGCATTCACTTTTTATGTTTTGAATCAAGGGAATCATTTCGATGATGCGGAGCCTACGTTCTCTGGGGGTCTGTTAGTTATTACTGACAAATTGTATCTTCTTTACTGCAAAACTCCATTATTGTAACTCATTATTCCATTAATACAGTTATCAGTTTCCTTCATTAATAGTCTTACATTTTTGCTAATCCATCAATAGGCCCGACCTACATGATAAACCCCACACTAATGCCCACGACTATGGATGCCACAAAAACCTAAGATGGGAGATAGGATTGACGTTTTTGAATAATAGATGGGTGAAGTGAAAACTATGTCGGAAGTGTTTGCCCAACAAATGCATCAACAAAGCCTTGTTCTGAGTGAGTTTATCAAGAAGATAGACTAGAAAGTAGTTATGCAGGACAACAAGAAATCAATTGGAGAAACTTCACAAGTTGAATCTTGACTTTCAAGTAAGCAGGTGAAGTTGTTAGTTTTTTAGGGTGAGGACTCGGTAGCATGGGTCACGCATGTTGAGATCTACTTTTATGTGCGGAATACATCTAACGAAATGCATGTGAAATTTTCTCGTTTGATCATGGAAGGATCAACCATTCATTGGTTCAACCTACTGATGGAGACTGAGGATGAACTTTCATGGGAGAAACTGAAGAAAGTGATAATCACACATTATGATGGTAGATTGTTCGAGAATCCATTCAAAGAATTATCAACGTTATGACAATTCAAAAGCGTGGAGGAATTCTTAGAAGCCTTTGAGTTGTTTTCATCACATGTGGGACGCCTCCCAAAAGAGAAATACATTGGTTACTTTATGATTGGGCTTAAACCCCAAATCAAGAGAATGGTTTGTACCCTAAACCCACATAATATAATGCAAATGATGAGAATGAAGAATGATGTAAAATACAAGTTGAAAGACAAAGATGACGAAGGAGAGAAACAAAATAGTAAGAAAGGGGTGTATGAGCATTTGGGACAAAATGAGGGGGCTGGGCTGTGTAGCAAAAGTAGAGCGGGTTGACCCAATTCCTAAAAGACTCAAATTGAAACGCTACTCAAGGATGGAGCAACCCAACATAGAGAATAGGTTAAGTGGATTCAAACACAAATTCAACATCTTCAATGTCATCGACGGGCAAGAAAAGTGACAATGATCGTCATGCTAGACCACCAGAGCGGTGGAAGGGAGTTCGTAGCATTCTGAGAGACAAGATGGAAGACAGAAGGGCAAAGGGTTTGTGATTTAAATATGGAGGAAAGTACCATCCCACCTTGAATTCATGATGAGGGTTCTAATTTTAGGTGAAAGAGGAGACTTAAACGATGAAGGAGAGGTTGTTTCATTGGAAAAATAGGTTTCTGAGGAGGAAGAAGAAAAGCTCTAAATGAAATGAAAAATTATGGGGGTATTGGGAGTGATGGATGAATACCGAACCATGAAGTTTGAAGGAAGGTTGGAGGATGTCAATGTGCTTGTGTTGATTTATAGTGGAGCAAACCACAACTTTATATCCTCTGAAATTACAATTGTCCTAGGACTTTATGTTAGTACTACAACTGCCAAGAGTATCAAGTTGGGAGATGGCCATAAGATTATTTTGAAGGGTGTTTGTCTAAAAGTTAAGATTAAAGCATATCCTATCATGGTGGTGGTGGGTGATTTGGTGCTTGAACTAGGAGGGTTGGATGTAATTTTGGGGGTGTCATGGATGAGCACTATAGAGAAAGTAATGATGGATTAGAAATCCCTCTCTATGCAATTTGAGAATGAATGAAAATAGGTGAAACTTTAGGGACATGGTGGAGCACAAGAAAGACAATGTTTCCTAAATACTTTTTTAGAGGACAAACAGATCATAGTAGGTGGAGCTTGGTTGTGGCCTCAAGGTAAAAAAAAAAGAGGAAAAGAAAGAGGTGTTGGAAGATCTAAGTGTCATTTTAGATCAACATAAGGGAGTTTTTCAAGAACAAATTTGGCTTCCCCCCAAGAGAGCACAAGTGCACCAGATCAAATTATTTCTGAAATAGATCCATGTCAATATTAGACCCTACAAATATCATCAGCACCCGAAGGAAGAGATTGAAACACAATTGAAAGAGCTTATTGAGGAAGAAGTGATTCAGTCTAGCATGAGTGAATTTTCAAGCCCATTAATTCTAGTTAAAAAGAAAGTTGGCAGTTGGCGGATGTGTTTGGACTATAGAGCACTCAATGAGGCCACAATACCAGATAAGCATCCTGTATCAATGGTTGATGAATTACATGGAGCAAAATTATTTTCCAAGATTGATCTTAACTATGGGTACCATCAATTTAGGGAACATGAGGATGATGTCCATAAAACTACATTTAGGGCTCATAATGGACACTATGAATACCTTTTTATGCCATTCATTTTAATGAATGCACCACCCACCTTTCAGTCCACCATGAATGACCTATTTAGACCTTTCTTTAGGAAGTTTGTATTGGTTTTTTTACGACATCTTGGTGTACATTAAGACTGCGGAGGTTCATCAAAAGAACCTGAATCAAGTTCTGGTTGTTATGGCAGCCAACTGCTTCATGGAAAATCAGGCCAAGAGCAAGTTTGAATGTAAACAAATAGACTATTTAGGGCATATTATTTCAGGACAAGGTGCTATAGTGGACCCCAAAAAGGTGAAATACATAAGAGAGTGGCTTGAACCAGAGAATGTGTAGGGTGAAATTCTGGTATCGGATATGTGATGTCGAAGGAGATGGCACGACACAAATATCTGAGGACAATATAAAATGCAACAATATGAAATGCGTATTTAGGTGTAAAAACACATTTTTTTTGGGTATGGTTTTGGGTTTTTTTTATCCCAACTCCATCACCCTTCATTTTGTGATAGGATTAGCTTAGAAAACAACATTGAAGCTTGCATACCGATGATCCAAGGTGGATTACTCATCAAGCGGCACTGACAAACTGGGAGATTTGTGGTTCATTTCTCTTCCTCTTTGTGTATTCTTAATGTGTTGAGTTTGTAAATGTATTTACTTTGAACTCATGTATATTTGTCGCCCATGGTGTTATATTAAACTTGCTTTACAAATCCGTGTTGATTATTATCTTAGATTTTTGCTTTGTGCTAGGGAT